ACCTGAAACTAAGTTTCTTTTGCACCTAGGCATATTTTCGTCTTCGACCCGCCGTTTTGCCCTTTCTCCTTCCAATGAAAGTGTCGGATGTATAGTTTTCAAATGCTTCCTTAAATTGCTAATGTTTCCATTTTTATGCGAATAAATATTTTTACAAAGATTAGACTTTGCATTAGCTTCCGATATATTGGTGAAATGCATCCAAATAACACTTCTTTTTTAATTTTGCGATTCTCCTGAACCGGACGCGGATGATTCCATATTTTTGTACAAATAATAATTACATTATTGCTCGAGCTTGTACGGCAACGTCCAAACCAGTAACAACCCGCCAACCGCTAGCTCTCAAAGTCAAATGAAAAGTGTACAGGTGTACACAAACATTGCCAACCTAAAGCTCCGCAGTCTGCAACTCGTTTGATAGAAGAGTATCTAAAGTTGCCTAAGCCTAACAATATTCGGATCATTTCATTTCCATCCAGTTTACATCCAAGAACTAAATCACTTGCTGCTGGCGCTGGCAGTACTGGCTACATTAGATCCCAGTAACGTTTGTATCTAAAGTAATGTATAGAGTAGTAACTAACAGTAATTAGAAAGTATACATAGAAAAAGACCGTATCGCATTCAAAGTAACGAATTCAAATAAAAAGTAACGAGTTTTTTCAAAAAGTAGGACTCGTTACATTTAGTTACTCATTTGTAACGATTATTTTGTAAGCGTTACTTAATTATTTTACATCACTAGTGTCAGGTCAGTATGCAACCTTCAATCGACGGTTACGGTCACGCGTGTAGAGGTAAACGAACCCGTATAATCGATTGCGTTTCAAAAAAAAAATAATAATGGCCCACTCATACACCAATAATGAACTCGTTGATATGTTGTTAATTTATGGCGAATGTCTTCAAAATGCTACAGATTCTTCGCGAGTGTATGCAGATCTTTTCCCTAGACGACATCATCCAAGGCCCCGCAGATTTGTGTACCTGGTCCAGAGAGTCAGGTGTACGGGCCATTTGGAGGAATTTCGAGGTGGGCACAGTGGGAGGCCTAGACAACCACGAATGGTGCAAGTTGAGGAAGAACTACTGAATCGCGTAGACGAGAATCCCTCAACAAGCACTAGATACGTGGCTAGAGAAGTGCAAGTATCAAACACTAAAGTGTGGCAAACGCTGCGTGAAGAGGGACTGTATCCGTTTCACGTCCAACGTGTACAAGCCCTTCAACCTGACGATTTTCCAGCAAGAGTGCGGTTTTGTGAGTGGTTGTTGCATCAACATGACAATAATCCGGACTTTTTGAAGTGCATATTGGTGACAGACGAATCTACGTTCACGCGTAATGGGGTGAATAACTTTCGCAACACTCATGTTTGGTCAGTAGAAAATCCGCACGCTGTCCGTCGGGCAAATTTTCAACAAACATTTTCGGTGAATGTTTGGGCTGGCATGGTGAACGGTATGCTCATTGGACCATTTATTCTCCCAAATCGATTGGACGGGATGCAATACCTAGACTTTTTGCGCAACATTTTGCCTTCCTTGTTAGAAGATATGCCATTAAGTGTAAGACAATCAATGTGGTTTCTGCACGATGGTGCACCGCCCCATTTTAGACGCGAAGTGCGTTAGTTTTTGAATGAATTATTTCCGTATAGGTGTACCGGACGTAATGGACCCGTAGCGTGGCCTCCGCGATCTCCAGACTTAACACCATGTGATTTTTTTCTTTGGGGAGAAATGAAACGGCGATAAATTCGAACAATACCTATAAAGTACGTTTACCTAAAAACTGAAAACGCGGCAACGCCGTCATATTTGTTACCTCTGTTCGTGGTCTGCACCACCGCCTGCGTCTGCTCGGTAGCGCATCAGCTGATTTCATTTTCTGTTGGAGCGGTATGATTTCGGGCAGAGACGTACTTAGCCCTTCTGGTCAACTGGAGAGTGAGTACTTTTTCCTTTATTTTTTTTTTACTTGGTCGCCCTCGTTTCACTACACATTACCTTTGTTATTTCAAGGGTAGTTGTTTCTGAAAAAGACAACCCCAACTTTGCGGACACCCTGTATATATATATATATATATATATTGAGTGAACACGAGCGACGAAAAGCAGTGCGTTGAATATGACGGACGTTGATATAGATATAGACACTGAAATATTGATTGAAGAGGTGAGGAGACATCCGGAACTCTGGGATGTGACTTGTGAAGAGTACAAAGAAAAAAATAAAAAACAGCAGCTTAGAGAGAAGTGTGTCATGTAGTTGCCAACTTCGAAACCAAGGAGGAAGCGATGAAAAATGCTTTGGGTAAGTGCGAACATCTGTCATAACTCCAATTACAGAAGAATCCTAACTAAATTTCAAATGCAACACTGTTGTAAGACAACTTATTTACTTAGAATACTACTACATAAGCAAAGTAGATATGACATCTTTATTTTATTGTCAATAACTAATTAGAAAATAACACATTGAATACGGTATAGTGTAGCTATTAGGATAACTAAGTTCCATGCTAACACCATTGGTTGAGAATTAGTTTAAACCATTCGATCCTGCCAAGGCACTCTGCCTGCATCACTAACAAAATAATCAGCCCATATGCTACGTTGCTCATTTAAAGCACGTCTACCTTGAGGTACATTTGCGACAGGTCCTGCATCAAATAATCCATTTGTGGTTAACGTATCGTCGTAGGAATATCCATCGCGTGTACGTACAAAATTATGTAAAAGGCAACAGGCTCTCACTATATCTTTTGCAAAGATCAAACTCACATTTAGTGGTCGGTGCAAAATTCGCCATTTGTTGCTCAAAATACCGAAAGCGCATTCAACATAACGGCAGGCTCGACTAAGCCGGTAATTCAAAATACGTTTCTCGTAGTTCAAAAATCGGCCACTAAAATGCGGCAAAATGTGCTGAGATAGAGCAAACGTCTCATCTGCAACAACAAACGTATGGCATTATACGATTGAGCTCCGGGTAGCGCTTTTCCATTTGGAATGTTTAGGGAACCATTTTGAAGCTACGTTGAAAGAAGACCTTTCAAAGATAGTGCTATCTGAATCATTACCAGGTGCACCAACATCTACATAAATAAAATTTTAGGAAGCGTGTGCGACAGCTAATAAAACGAATGAGAAATAAAGCCTATAATTAAAATATAATGAACCACTTAGACTCGGTTTTAAGCAGCTGTCCGTCTATTGCTCCGATGCAATTCGGAAAATTCGCTTTCGTTTCGAAATCCTCGCAACTAATAAACCAGCGATCTTCAGTACACGTTGGCAACGCCTCGCAGCGCAAAATAGTCCACAGCGCTCTACACACTCTTCTCACCAATTTGCTTAAAGTTGAACGTTCAATTCGATAAGAGTAATGTAGTTCAACTGATGTACTTCCTCAACCAAAATATCTGAAAGTAATAAAAACAAGTGGATTACGAAGCAGTAATCAGTGGAATAAATAAAAACTAATTCAAAATTTACTAAAGAGACAAGATAATGAGTGAGCTCCACCCGGTAGGACGCATATCCATGGCGCCACGCACCCCATAAAAGAAAGGAATGCACCCGAAAACAAAATTGAGATGTTAACGCTCTATCTCTTGATTATGATAAAGTTTTAAATGAAGCAATTTTGTCCAAAACTCATTACTGGGGACTAATAAATCAGCTATCCAGCCCTTTAGGATGCGCTTTATAATAAAATTCGTATTTCAGGAAAAACCGTGATGGCCCGCTGGTGCAATACGAGTGACAACTTCACGCGAGTCCAAAGGCCAAGCAACAGAAACTGGACGTAGATATATTTATGCCCGTAAATTAGAATTTTTGTTGACAAAACAAGTCAACATTCCCACGGAGGACAGTATCCAAGTAGAAGGAGAAGGAGATGGCATTGGCAAGGAAACTCCAGGAAGTATTGGTGAAACTCCTGGTCCTTCCGGAGTGGGCAACCCCCCGCAACGCCGAAATGCACCTCGCAAGCGACAGGTGGAGGATGCCTCAATTGCATTTATGCAACAACGCCCACGACCGACGACGGCCCCTGATGATGATGGCGACCAAGCTTTTTTTAATTCATTATTACTAATGGTTCGAGGATTTACGCCGGATCAAAAACTGGAGTTGCATTCTGAGATTTTAAACGTGATCCGACGTATTCGCGCAACGCCATCACACATGCCTTCTCACCCGCATTTCCACCCTCAACAAATACTTCAAACTCCTTCTCATCATCCCACCTATCCTTCCACATCCCAAATATCACCTCATTTTTCATACACCTCGACACCCTCGCCTATCCCCTGTTGAATCTGTTATATCTCCAACCTCCTAGTCCCAACATTCATCCTCCACATATGATACAGATTTATACCCATAATATTGTTATTAATTATTTTCAATAAAACCTCTACCTCCCTCCAACGTGTTCGTCTTTATTAATTCTACCTGAACCGTAACGTAACAGCTAACATATCCATCCGAGTTATTGCCCATCTCATATTTGTGTCCTGCATCTTCAAACTTTCGCTCAGTTTAACATGTAATAGTTTAACATGTAATTCGTCAAACTGTTTTGTACTCATTCTAAAATAATTGAAAAAATTCTCCTCGTCGTTTCTCAGATCCGAAAAATCACGAACAGATACTCCTTTTAGTGCACGGGCACTCACATAAGGGTGTACCCAGTATTTTCTTTTCTTTTTACAAATATAATATTTATATACGTTATATTATCAAAATCCATCTTGCTACGTGCGTCGCGTCCCGAGAACTGCATGCGTTATTGTAGGCTCGTGTGAACTTCTCTCAAAAACACTGTCTGCATCGACGCAACGTCGACGTTGCGTTACCGCACCGTAAAAATACGTCCGTGAGCACCGGCTATTAGTTGGTGAGGAAAACACTGTGTCTAAATGAAATATTGATTAAATAGCAGGAAATACTTGACAAAATGCAATATTTTCTGAAAATACTAGATGTCCACATTGCACCAAAGCCTTCAGCCTGCAGAGTCTACTTCATGTCCACATCATAGCCAAGCATACAAAGTCAAAACCTTATAAGTGTGAAGAATGCAACAGACGTTTTGTCACAAAACCCGGCCTCAGGATTCATATGAAGAAACACAAGACTGAAACTAAGGAAGACTATCCCTGTGTCGAATGTGGTAAAATGTAAGTATCAACTAAAGTATGTTTAAAAGGTTAAAGATGAACAACCATAACTGAGATCTTATCAGAATGAAAATCCCTACTAATGTTGCAAACGCAAAAATGTTTATATATGTTCAATTTTCACGCCAGAACAGCTGAACCGTGTCTATAATGAATTTTGACACAGATATAGATTAGACTTTGGAGCCGAACATTTAGGGATAACATGTGTTCATATTTGGTTCTCTGATAGATGAGCAGGTGCTAAGGTATTTTGGAAATTTCACCCCTAAGGAGGTGTACTAGTTAACACATTTAAAGTTTTTGTTGGCAACCTAGAATGTTTCAAATTAGAAGTAGAAGTATGTGTTGCCTATACTTTTTTCTTTAAAATAATAAATAAATAATTTTAGAAATTTTATTCTCAAGTTGGTTAGGAGAGGGCTCATCAATTCTATGGGAAACCTTATCTGCAGGTAAAATAAAGGTCCGTTATCACCTAAAAGTTTGTATGGGGAAACTATTCTATTTGATTCTTTGATATAATGTAAACGGAAAAGAAAATTTTGGAAATTCCAAATTTTTTCCTTTAAAATAAACAATAACAGATAATTCTAGAAATTGTATCCTCAAGTTGGACTAGGAGGGGACTTAATATTTCTATGAGAAACCTTATCACTTTTTAGTTGAGTTTACAGTTTATCTCAAAACATGAAATGGCCGAGACGTAGGGAACATATACTCATTAATCACTAAATTTTGATTCGTTTTGTAGTTTAGTTTCTGGACATATCAGCTAAGAATGGATTCTGTGTCAGGACCGAATTTGGAGGGTTAAAGGGCACTCGCAAGTTTGTTTAAAAATAAAATAAGGTTGTTTAGATTAGACTTAATCAAAGCGTGCATTTTGTGGCAGAGACGAACTAAAGGATCTAAGCGTTGCCACAGTTTTATACCTATTTACTTTTTATATCTATAACCTAAAATTTGGCGGATTTTGTGTAATTTAATATATACATTTCAAAATTTTTGGTGTTTTATTAATTACTCGCTTTTCTCCCTGCAGTTTTACCCGTATAATATACTTTTGTTTTTTCGTGGGAATGAGATATTATATCATGCCGTTAAAAATAGCTTATATGTGTGTCATATTCTACCTGTGTGCTAAAAGATTCCGCATAAACCTTATGAAGAGTGGCTTTTGGCTATTTAAAAAAAAATAACATGCTGTAGATCTCAACACTTAGAACAAACGTGTCCATGAGCCTAAAGTTTTTTCACAAATAGTACTATGTTAAAGTATATTGTGGGTTTGGTAAATAATATGATGATTATGATATTTACTCACGTTCTTATGCGTTCGCTACTCGTTACGATTAGACGTGTTTTTAGTCGCTCTCGTTTTTTGGTAGTTTTTTGTAGTTCCCAGTGTAAATAATCTATTGCAAAGTGGTGTTAGTGTGTTGAAGGGAATGTACAATTGTACACAACTACATCAAACCTAAAGAATGGATCCAAATTTAAAAGAAGAACTGAAAAAGAGGGGCTGAAGTAGCTCCCTTAGCACACTTACCTTACAAAAAGAGGAGATAAATAAAATAATCCTTGGCAGTGAACATGTTCCCAATAAAAAAGCAACAGAGATAAAAGTTGGTGCAAAAAGGTGTGGTACTAACATGAAAGAAATCTACAAGGTGATAACACAAAATCAGCTAACAAAAATGATACAACGTATGCTGTTGACGCAATATTCATACCAAAATCTTCAATTTCTCGTACCCCACCTAAAGTAAGCCAAGCATACCATAGAAGTCACGCAGACATTCTTACAGAACACCACCCTAACATTGAAAAAGGTAAAAGACCCAGATCGCAATCTAGTACAGGGGCAGAAAATGTTAGTAAAAGGCTGTGTGATGAAGTGAAAAACTGTATGACGGAAGAATTAATTCAAAACTTTTTTGATGAAATTGATACCATAAGCAGGCGCATCGATAGAGACATGACGCTTACTCCTTTCAACACACGGGATAAAACATGCATCGTGCAAGCCACTATGAATATTCAAAAATTACTGACACAAGTTGTGTACAAAGTCAGTCAGCTAGAAAAAGAGAATGTAGTGTTAGCAGCTAGAATAGAAAACAGCCAGCCAAAGTATACACGCACGGATTCTAGTGGAAGCCTATCGAACATGCAAGGAAAACAAGTACAACCAAAGAACCAATAAGCAAAGTGGAAGATCCATGGACGACTCCACCAGAAAATCGGAAACTTGAGTCCATCATAAGAGTGGAAAAAACAGAAAATCCTAGGGTGGTCCTAAGTAGACTTAAACAAGACTTGATGCAAAAGGATACTGAAGGAGGCTTCAAATATATTAGACAATTACAATCAGGGGCAGTAATAGTAGAAAGCCACACTGAAAGCCAACAACAGAAACTGAAAAATATATTGAAAGATAAGAACAACATAGCAATCAAAACATCAGATGGAATCGATCCTATGTTCATGGTCACAGGAATTGAAAAAGAATACGAGGCAAAAGAATGCATAGATGAGCTCATAAGGCTGAATAATGAAATTGAAGCTGAATTAAACTATAGTGTTACAGATAAAATCAAGGTCGTTACAAAGAAGAACTGCCGTAATCCACATAAAGAAAACTGGATTTTACAAGCACCGCCCGAAATTGCTAAGTGGTTCTTAAAACATGGTCGGATAAACTTCGATTTGGTAAGGGTTTATGTTAAAGATCACATCAATTTGGCAATCTGTGTTAAATGCTCACATTTTGGACACATTATGTTCAGGTAACCATGAAGCCACCAGCTGCCAGGAACATGATCTTAAATGTGTAAATTGCCGAAAAATGAAATATAGTGACCTTAATCATTCTGCCCGCGACCCAAAATGTCCAGTCTACACATCGCGAATTAGGAGGTTTAGAAATAAGATCAATTACAGCCAGGATTTTCAAACATAAACAGGGAAGAAATTGATGCTGATGAGTCTGACACATATGGCTCTATCAAGCAAATGGAGGAATACAACAGAATAGCTCTACTCCATCAAAACGTCCAGTCGTTTGGAAACTCAATAAATGAGGTAAACCAGATGATAGCAAATAATAGTGACTGTAAATTCATTTGCATCACTGAACATTGGAAGAGTCAAGACCAAATTATCAACTATGGAATTAGGAACTTCAAGTTAGCATCGTGTTTTTGCAGAAAACGAGGGAAGCATGGTGGGAGTGCAGTTTATGTGAGGGTGGGAGTTCAGAGCTCGGAAAGGTCAGATATAAAATCATTATCTGTGGAAGGTTCCCTGGAGTGTGCTGCAGTAAAATTTTCCTTATATGGGTTGAATTTCATAATGTTGTCAATATATAGACCACCGTCTGGTAATATGCATGTGTTTTTAGAAAAAATGGAACGAATTCCACCGAAAATCCCTGATGACAGTGCCACAATTTTCATAGCCGGTGATTTCAATATCGATTTTTCTCAGGAAAGTCTGAACAAACAACTCTTATGTTCACTTTTAAATTCATATGATTTACATCAAACTATACAGGGTGACTTTGAAGTTGAGTCATTAATTTTCAGATAATGATTGTAGAAGGAAGATAAACCAAAATATGTGTGTAAAAATAAAAAAAAAATTTACCTTGTTTTATAAAGTATCCTCCCGACAAGTATTTCAGTGCGGACCTGTATTTGATCGTGAGGTCTTGGAGCACCGGCATGCCGTCACCTGATTCACTAGCCCGTTGTACTACATTAACAAAGGCACGAGGGGTTGGTTGCACTCGATTGGGAAACCGATCCGCATAAACATGTGCCATTTTTTATTTCGTTTGAGCCACGCAACAGACATCACTATTCACTCACGCGTTACCGACTGACACTGACTGTATACAAATGAATAAAATAATTGTAAAAACATCGTTCCAAATTCTTTCGCTTTTTTGTTTCCGATGCGATGAACCGATAAGGCGGATTATATCCGTTGTCGCCAAACACGAGCACATAATATTATTATTGAGACAGGGCGGTACTCAAACTTCCAAAGGGCTATAACTTTGTTACTTTAATTTTACCAGAAAAATGGTAAAGGAAAAAAACATTTCTTTTGATCAGATCTACTCACTGTTAAAATAAATAACTCAACTTCGACGTCACCCTGTATACATAATAATAATACACACGCATTACATCCACCAGTGGATCTTGTGTTGACAATATTTTCACCAATACCTCAACTTATGCATCTTATGTCATTAATTCATTAATCTCAGATCACACAAAAAAAATATATATTTGCAATTTGCACTAATATTTGGTTTAAAGAACTACATATTTTCTTCATATTTTTTTTAAAGTTCATATTTCTTCATATTTCCAAAAAAAATCTTCATATTTTCATATTATTTTCGTCCTGACCTGTTCCGGCCCTGTATTAGAGTACTAAGCAAGTACCTAGACCTCAAGACTCTAAAAATGGTATATTACGCGAATTTTGAATCCATTGTATGTTTTGGAATATTTTTTTTCGGGCATAGTAGCCATACCAATAGGATCTTTCTAGTGCAAACGCGAGTGCTGAGGTGCATCCTAAAAATTTCCTCTAGAGAGACTTGCAGAGGAAAATTTAAGAGTAATAAAATTTTAACTGTAGCCGCAATATATATTCAAGAGATTCTAATTTTTACATTTAAAAATATTAGCAATTTTATCGGTAACCCACGAAGTGACTATAACACAAGAAATAGAAATATACATCTTCTGTATCCAGTCCATCATCTCACGGTTACCGAAAAAAATGTCCATTACAGCTGCACTAAAATATATAATAAGTTACCACAAGAAATTAAAAGGTTGGCAGATATAAAAGAATATCAAAAGAGTATTTATCAATTGTTAATGCACTTAGAACCATATGACCTTCAAGAATATTTTGAAATGTAATATCTCTATTATGTTATATGTTATACTTAAAATGATAGTCTAAAGTAAAAAGCCGCACTGAAAAAATTCTTGGGTACCTTTAAAAATGACAAGTTACTCTTATTTGAAGAATTATCTTGCTGGAGCGTGTGATTGAGCCATGACATCACATTACGCCAGCTAGCATCGCCACCACAGGTACTGCATTGTGCCTAGGTGTATGAATACAGGCAAATCAGCTTCAGAAAAACATTTGTACTTGTACCAAAACTTGGAATTGGAAAGTAAGATAATGAACGATAAAATTGCCTCTAGTAGGTATATAGTTAATATACTAAAAAGGAAAAAATAAATATTAGTGTAGTGCTTATTATGATGGATAAACAATAAACTAATTTGTGCAAACGAGAACGGGGTTAGATTTGATTATTTCTTTTAATTAGAGTTAATGTTGTTATAGTAATCATGTTGTGGCTGGAGGTCGAATACTCCTTAAACCCTGTTTGTGTCGACGTGGAGACGCATAGACATGGTTCAGGAACCAAAAAACCGAGCTAAAAGTCCAACAAATTTGTATAATCGAATAGTGTCACGTTTTTATGTAATCGCTTGTATTGCTATGTCGCAAAATGGATTGCGGAGACGAATGTTTGTATAATTATTATATGGCATTTTATTACTTGCCTAACGACACATGCCACTATACGACAACAATATGTAATTGATATTTTTCCTTAACTAGTGATTTCCGAAAGAGTTTTTACTCAGCGAGGCCATCGCAAATAGTTGTTCCGGAATTGTTGCACACAACTTCTTCCCGTTCAAATGATTGTACACGTATCAAGGAATACATCAATACCGATCGCCGGGTGGCAGTACAAGTCCGGCTAACTGTCCACTTAAGGTCTATTTAATATTACTCATAAGTGAAAAGGTGGTAGACATGGACCAGTCGGTACCACCCGCTGGTTTTTTCCAGGGTGTCTTAAAAATGACCACATGTTTCCACACCTAAGCTATGCAGTGGGTTTTCTTATTTTCGCCTTCCGTTTCGCAACAAGAAGTGATGATGGACCCACCGAGTACTAAGAATTCTGGATGAAAACTCACTCCACTCTCGGAATGTTCGGGTGGAGGGTGGACTCGAGTGAACATCGATAATAAAATCTCCTTCACGAAAATCTGCGGGATTAACAGCGACATCGGTGCAGTTAACCACTCCCTGACGTCTAATTCATCCCCCCATGATTTTCTTGGTGGAGACCAAAATCTGTGATACTGTTCCGACCATCTTTGCTTTCCAAACTACGAGGTGCACTCTAACCTGAGGAACAACTGAGGAGTTGTGGCTTTTGCCCGTAACAGTATTTCCTGATTCAGAGACGTTTCTTTCGAATTGGGCCAGAAAGACATTCTGTGGTTTCGGCCCAAGTCAAGCTCTACTTTTTCCCCTGGATTTCATCACACGCCAGTAGTCTGCTGGATAATTTTCTGAACACGCATCCTGTCCCTACTGCACTGCTCTCTTGTGTTTCCTGGAAACTCAGACCACGGTGTTCTAGAAATCAGGTTTCAGTCAGAACCGGTTGTGGCAGCAGAGATGTGTCCAGGCCGTAAATTTTGGCATTACGGACATGCTGACTGGGAAGGGCTCAGAGATTTTTTCTCCACCTTTCCTTGAAGTTATGTTTGTTTCGTGGATTTGAATGCGTCTGCTGTGTGTTCGTCAATAACCGAAATTATCCACATTAGGATAGAGGAATTCATCCCTCATACAGTGAAAGTGCTTAAACCAGGGTCCAACGGGTTTTTTAACAAATCGTGCTTCACTGCTCGTTGGCAGAAGAGCAAGGCACATAGAATCTTCTTACAAAACCCCACTGTAGAGGACAAGTCGATGTTGAGGCCGGAAATAAATATAACGAAGGGATTCGCAATGCCAAAGACCAGCACGATGGAAAAATTAACAGACTCAGAGTCTAAGGCGGAAGTGCTTGTCAAGATCTGTACCGCCAACTCCATCGGGAAGTAGCCTTCAGGCATAAGACTCCTAAGACTGGTGCTCTTATCGCTTGACATAAACAAAGCTTCTGGTCCGGGCATCAGCTCTGCTGTTGTACTGAAGAGACGTGCAGCAGAGCTCCAGTTCAGAAATCGTAGTAACAAAGTTTAACTCGGTTGCGGTGTCCTGGTTCTGCGGCTGCTCCGCTATGAGAAACAGGTATTTCGAATAGAAGGATGTTAATCAGACAGCCAGTTAAACAATATGGCAATTTTGGCTGCAGCTGACTGCAACTTTTTCAGTTATGCGACATCATACAATAATACATAAATTTTACATTAAAAACATATAAAACTGTAATTTGAGTACAATCAGCATGTTTTTTGCAAACATGGCCGTCATACTAGATCCGCCAGTTACTTTTTTTTTTAGGAATAGATATTCATTTAATTATTATCGATTTTAAACTCCCTTGAAACTCAATTTTGAGAGTGATCAAAATATTTTTTTGCAAAAGAAGCCGCTATATTTAAACGGCCATTTCGATTTTTGAACAATCGATATCAAATTTGTTATTAGCAACTCTGCAAACATCTAAACCTTAAATTTGAGCTCATTCAAACTATTTTTTTGCAAAGATGTACACTATATTAAATCCGCCATTTATTTGAAAAATAAATTCATCCATACAAGTTTGGCTCATCCTGTCTTCTGTTTTTGGAGAACTGACTATCACAGATGATAATAAGAACGTTCATAAATATGAAATAACTGCTACATTCCTCAAACTGAGCTCACAGTGCGCTGTAATAGGGTACAAACTGCCCAGCCTGAATGTCGTATATCTTAGAAACTATCTGTGGAAAAACTTTGGGCCCATAGACACTTTTGTCCTACGTGTTGAGATCTATGAATACTATTTTTTTATTTATCATAATGTGGTCTTAACAGTGTAACAAACATACATAAACACTACAGTATCATCTAAAGAAAAATGATCAAACAATATTTTGTGTTGATCTAGACCAACTGTAAAAGCCTTCTTTGTTTCTTTGCCAAAAAATTTACATTTTGATCTAATTAATAAAATAACTAAATTTCCCAGGCATGCAAGGTGGCTGTTGATTTGCGAACACCATCAATATTACACAACGCGTTCAGAAGTTATTTAGATTACTTAGCTCGATACCGTGCTTTACTCGATTTTTAGACCTCGCACTAAGTAATCATTGAATACACAACCTGTATAGCTCACAACTTTTGACACAGGAGTGATAGTGGAACACTTTAATTTTGAAGGGAATTATTCATCATGAACAAAACATTGATTCACCAATAATAATACTTTTTTCCATTTACACTGAAGCATTCATTTAGATTCTCACTAGGATTTTTATTGGATTTCAATTCTGAGATAGCATTTCTTAGGTTGTTTATGTTTATTGTCTTAAATTGATTCATTGGCGAATTATGATATACTCGTAATGAACATAAGTATTAATGCTCTTAATTCTAGTCTAAGCATATGACTGGATCTTATCTTGACTAATTGCATCAAAATTCTTGTGACTCTGTTTAGACTTCATACAAGAGGTGGTCTAACTTCACACATGAATGTCCATCGTCTAGGCAGAAGATTCATGTGCGACGTGTGCGGAAAGACATTCACACAAAAGGTGAACATGCAACAACATGTCAAACAACATACTGGAGATAAACCGTACGTTTGTGTCAAGTGCGGAAAATCGTAAGTAGATAGGTCTTCGCGGTTTTTGGCGGTTTTGTTTATCCCTTCGAACAGCTTCTTGATATCTGGCAAGACATTAATCGGTCGCATATTTGTATACAGCTCAGAATGTTGAACTTTTGGTACAGGAGCAATGGTGGTACACAATACCATACGAAATACAGAGTGGCCCATCCATGTGTGGACGGAATATTACTCATAACCAAATACATTTTGGGAAAATCTATTTACGGCATGTTATACATGACATTTGTGGGCGTATTTATAAAATATTGGCAATTATACAGGGTGTCAAAATTTTGTTACCTACATATCAAAGTTGTGATTTTTTAAATGGAATGCCTCAAATTTTATTACATATTTGGATAAATCAATACAAAAGAAGATTGATACAATATACTGGGGTTTTGGTAATTAGTTACTGAGGTGTAATTTTGTATAAAAAAAACTTACACACCTCAGCTTTATCTTATTTGTTATTTTTTCGAATTTTCATTTTTGCTCATACAGGGTGGTCAAAAACGCGAATTGTACTTTTTCTCAAAAATTTCAAATGTATATTCGTGCAAGTTTGGATTCAATTTTTTATAAGCTTTTTTGATACTACACACAAGGGTTTTACGGCTATTTTTTCGGTTATTAGCACGTCTTTTATGGAACGGCTTAATTCCCTAAAATATCGCATCATCCTTGGAAACAAATACATTGTTGATTAGTTGCAAACTATCAAAATTAGCTTTGTGAGCATTATAATAAAAACGTGTTTGAAAATGAATTTTTCTAAAGAAGAAATAGTGAATATGGTGTTCGTTTTGGGCAAATGGTCTACGAACGCGGATATTTTTAAACAGATGTGGACAGATCTTATACAGGGAAAACCAAATTTGTCTGTCGGTTTGAGTTCAATGTGTAAGAGAGAAAAGCGCGAGAAGTCTGTATCACACATGTTAGAAAGAGAATGTCGTGCTGTCTGCCGCGTTGCCAATATATTACACAATAAAATGTTCGCATATGCTTCTACAATTGGTTAGGTTACTGTCAAACCCAATAAGAAGGTCTGTTCCAACATTTAATTTAATATTTTGTTTTCATTTTGATTAGAATTATTTCTTTCAATTTTGATGCGACTTAGTGTTGTAATTTATTTTAGAATTATCTTTGATTTCCACCGAAGGTGGGAAAATTAACACATCCTGAGTTATTGTTATATATTGCGACATTGAGCGATCGAAAAATGTAACAAATACCATTTGGCAATACAAATTATCACTGCCTGTGTGTACGCAGATGAAAACCATTTCGAAGCAGGATGACGCTCCCCAGTGAGCGCTTGACGAGTAATGTCCAAAATCGCTTATCTATGATCAAGTAGGTGGTAACCAATGAAGCAATGTTGCAGAATCCTGACTTTTCATTTCGACCTAAAATGGAGCGCCGTTAGGACCGATCGGGATTCAATCCTAAACAGATTCGACATAATTCACCCTTCAAACATGTGTACGCTCAAAATAAAACCATTATTTGGGCGTAGAGAGTAAACTAACGCATATGTTCAACATGCATCTTAATTCAAGGAACTGGTGCTAGGCATGATGAGCTTCGCTATCCAGCCGGCTTCTATCCATTTCTAACATAAATATGTGGCTATATACACCTCTCTCTCGTACACATTGAATTCAAGCCGTCACACAAATTTGGTTTTCAGTGTATACACTGAAAACGAAATACCGCTGACGTAATTAATGTGTACGAGAAGCGCGAGACGTGTCTTAGAAAGAGATAGAAGCACCTCGGTGCCTAGCAACCCGAGTACGAGGCCACGGACACCATTGGCGCACTCTTTCTAACATACATATTAGACACTTCTCTCGCACACATTACGACGTCAGCCTAATTTGAACCTCACCGTATGTTGTATTTACAGCAGTAAAGATAATGATGGTACAGGAAAGGCATGCCCTTCAATCAATACAAATAGAAATAAAAGGTATTGTATCCCTGGGCTTGCCATTTTATTCGTATAACTTTACTGTGAAAGCAAACAATCTACCAATTCAACCAACCGATTTGTAATTGTTGACGCAATTTCCCCAGAAAGTCAGTATAGATGCATTCAAGTGTAACTTTATGTTAGTTAAGTTTTTCACCACTGGACTGGTGCAAGAAAAACTCAATTTGAGATTGACCTTTGCATTTAAATCCCCTTTGCTAACTGGTAGATTCGAGAATGGCGGTGTAACCAGGCATTAAATACCTATTATCTGAGCTCATGCTGAACTGATTTTAAAGATTTAAGAGTCTTAACCAAAGCTTAACGATTTAAACAGTAGAGAGACACTGCCTGGCAGTACAACGGGAAAGACGGGGGTTGAAGCATTTGCATTTCCAGATTTGCGGAAAAGTCTCACCTGATGAGGCACCTAAGCTTCCATACAGAAGAGAGGCCATATAAATGTGAGGTGTGCCAAAAAATGTACAAGACTGAACGCTGTTTGAAAGTGCACAGTTTGACGCATTCTACAAACAGGCCTTTTATCTGTGAGTTTTGCAACAAAGGCTTCCTCAGCAGTACAAAACTGAAGGTAATTATGTTTTAGGGCATACATACTGTGTAGAGAGAGAGTTCGTTTTATGGTTGTGAAATACACATGTAGAACATGGGCCTGAGAGCTGAATTTTCATAAGGAGAATCATTTAATTCGAAGTTGAACATAAAAGCTTGCAATATAACAGTAAAATGTTTCATTAGTATTAGTAAACACGTTTTCAGACATAAACCTCAAAACAAATAGTGATATGCCCTATTTCACGAGTATCCGTCCCGCTTTGACGTCCACTGAGGTGAACAGCTGATGAGCAATTGACATTTTTGTGATAGTCTGCGACGTTGGCAATAATGAATTGGGTATAAATCTAGTGAAACTTGTTTGTAGCGTTTTGTTTTTTGTATGCAAATGAACTTTTATAAATAAAAGAACTTTTAGCGATCCATCAGAATTGTGTCCTTTGCCGATATGGGGAATTTTGAAGTATTACTAGCTAATCAGCTGTCATTCTACCGTAATGGATACTCGTGAATAAAACTATAGTGAACCTATGCTTCCAAGTTTTATGATAGAATACGACTATAAGCCGTATTAAATTTGATCCTATAGATGTTTTCTCCGCCAGGGATACACAAAAGATGTTTATCAATTTCCCGATAAAGTGGCGTTGCAGGTAAAATCCATCATCATTGTATGATATGGCTCATAATTTTTATGCTGTAATTTTGTCTGAAATTTATGACACAATAAGGTATATGCTTCCAGCAACACTGTAACATCCACACGGGTGAACGTCCCTACAAATGCAAGTACTGTGAACGTACCTTTACAAACTACCCAAATTGGTTGAAACATACTAGGCGTCGCCACAGGGTCGATCATAAGACTGGTGAAGAACTAAATATAAAGGTACTTTTTATTTTACTCATTTCTGATTGAAAATGCATCCTTTGTATTGAATATTAGGATGTGTGCATTGGTGCTTGAGTCACTTACAAAATCTCAAAGTAAAAGAATATCATAAAAATGTATCCACCAATAATGTTTTCCTTATAAGCTATGCTACCCACAGTTATAAACGATTGTTTAGGTAGTTAAAATTCACTGAAAGGAATGTAATTTTATCTTCCTAATACAGCTAAAGTTCACCACAGTGTTTTAGCTTCTTAGACGGTATTCAAACTCATATTGCAGCGAGAAGTAAAGGCAGAAACGTCTAAATCGGTGACATCTGACAAGTCGCATTTGAATCCCATTGAACAGACTGAATCAAAGGAAGACGAGCCAACTGGCAAGGTAGTAGAAGAAACAAGCGTCATCACTAAGCCAGAAACTTCTTTATCCGAGATGCAAGAAACTGAAGCAAATCTGGCTAAAGTGGAGGAGATGCTTCTGCAACAAGGCATCTTTAATTTTCCTTTACTGGATGATAAAATTGTCTTCAATCCATCGCCTAGCGATTTTATATCTGGTAAGCAAACATTTGCGTTAATGTTTTAGCATAATCTATAATTGATGAGGGTGTTGGGAAAAATCTCATTGCTGCCAGAAACTTTGATACACGAATCACTTTACAGAAAACACGTCATTTGTCATTGATTTATCTAGCATTTAACAGGTTGACAGCCAGGTAAAAAAAATATCATCTGGTGACAAGTTGACAATAATACACCTGATAGTACCCTATAAGCAGGCCACTGATTTATTCCTATCAGTTTTTCAAAATGCAATGACATTTTTGCAAATATAGCTGAGCGGTCTGATACGCCCGCTCGGGTGTGGACGATACATGTCCTTCTTGCCCAAGCCGTCGTTTCTTGCGAGTCAGAACTTGCACCTACACTATCTTGTAAAATCGGGATTAACAATCGCGGAAACTTATTTAGGGTTAGCACGCGTATTATTATATACGTAATGGCTAAAGGCGCCAGGCAGCATAGTGAATGCATTAGTTTTCAAACACTGAAAATGAAACTTGTAGAATTGGCCCTTCAGGTGGAGGAGCATACAGGTAAGTTTATGAATATAAAATATCTGTCATTTTACACAATATTATTGCAAGTGTACTGTCGTAAGCTCAGTTTATTTACATATTTACACAGAATGCAAGCGATTCTGAAGACTTCAGTTCTATTGATTCCGATTTGGATCTTGTGTTTCTACCATCCAGTCACAAAGAATTATCTTAGAGCTCTGATATATCATTCACAGAAGTAACAGCAGTACAGACAAATACCTGTAAACTTACAAAAACCAGAGGTGAACGGCAAAGGTCAGAGAAAAGGAAAAGAGCAGGAAAAGAGAATGATAACTTTGAAAGTCAACCATGTTGTTCAAAATTACTTCCAGTACCCGAATTAGAAGAAGCAGGAGTCCAAAATGAAGAAGAGATAGAGAGTCTCAATGCCTTGTCATTTGGAGCTGGAGACAATTTTCTTGAATACAAATTTGGATCAGTTTTTTTAAGTCGAACTTTCTGCAAATAGAGTAGTTGAAAACAGAATCCGAGCATGAGAAAGAAGTCGCTAAGCAGAATGAATACACATGCAGAGAGCCTGTGGGCAATCATCAAGTTTTTAATTATTTTGCCGAAAGCGATTTACATGCAGGTTATGCTGCAATTCTTATCAATGATTTTTCTCCATACACTTGTTTTCGTTCTTTTTTCGATGATTGAAATCATAAATTAAATGGTAGATCAGACCAATCTGTATGCAACTCAAGTTTTATCTGATGCTGAAGATGTCAGTAGGGAATCAAGTTTACATCTTTGGGTTTCAACTGATGAAGCTGAGATGTTAAAATTTATTGGCATCGTGGCATATATGGGTATGGTTAGGATGCCATCATTAGAAAATTGGAGCACCGATGAGCTTTTCCAGGTATCTATTATTCCAAAAGTTATGTAATAGATTCCAGCTGCTTCTAATAATGTGGCACTTCGCTGATAATAAAGACTGTCCAGAGAGTGACCGCTCGCATAAAATTAAACCGTTATCAGATGCGTTGGTGATAAAGTTTCAAGCAATTTACACACCTGGTAGAACATTTTGTATTGATGAGTCTCTTGTTCCTTTTCAAGGCCGCCTCCTGTTCAAACAATATACATACCAAAAAAACGTATAAATACGGCGTAAAATTATTCAAACTGTGCAGCGATAATGTCTACACATGTAACATCCGAATTTATGGTGGTAAAGAAAGATAAGAAGGAGATGCATGTGTGCCAACAAATGTTGTGCTCAAGTTGTCGCAAGACTTACTTGATACTGAAAACCGCGTGAAGAAAGTAGTAACATACTGTGGAGTGTGTCAGGATCAGCTACATTTTTGTCTAAATTGTTTCAATACTACTCATGCTAAGTGAAAAAGAACCTTCATTTTCTCCATTTTTTTATCTCTAGTTTGTTTATATAAGTGAATCTCATTTTAATTTGTCCTGTGACCGTTGCATTTTGTAGTATGTTTTGGGTTCCGACAATAAATATGTATATCACATATTCTGGGAGTATTATTCGATTGAGTCAGATATCCAGAAATTCGAATCAACACCCTAGGCCCGTATACCACAGCAGTCAAATTGCTTACTTATAGTGATGCTCAGTTCGTCCGCTGGCACACAGAGAATATAAACGTAGCACCGTATGATAGCGGTCGTATACGACCGCCTTGGCAAAATAGGAAACATATTCAGCGATCGTCCGCGCCCGCCTTGGCAGTCAACCTGTTAAGGAGCTGCCGAGCTAGTTCCAGTGATTTTTCATCAAACTACATTGTAACCATTGCACCAAATATTCGATGCTATTACTATTGATTAGTTATTGCTAGTTGATTGAAATGTTTTGATCCGCTGATTTTTGTTTGACAGGCACTCCAAATACTTCAGTTGGAGCACTTTTACCATACTTCCAGGCGTTGCCAAATTCATAAATCTTCTTTGATGAAAATTCACTTTTTGGCATTCAGTCGAACCATTTTCTCTGATTATTTATACTGTTTGCTATATGATTAATTGATGTTCATATTGAACATTGTACTATGTACATTTATTTACACTGATAAAAGTTTATCCAAGAATGTATATGAAAATTTTACTATTACTATTATTTTATTGAAAAAATACTGGCTGTATTGTTCAGTAATGTAAAAAATAACAATAGCAATGTTTAACAATTCCAGTACTTTCATTAGTAATTTTATAATTTCTTGGCTGGTTATTCAATAAACTTTCTCTATTAAATAATGTTACATTTGCAAGCAATATATTATTCCTGGATACACTATTCATCACTTTTATATATATGCTTATATGTCCTAAATCTTTAAGCACAAATATTGTATGTTAGATGTACCATGTAATAATGTATGATTGTCATTTTTACGATGATATAAAATACACTTGTAATTAAGGTGAGGGTCTGTCTGTTCTTTGTATGTCTTACCTGAGCGTTTGCACGCAAGATTCGCCGCGCGGGTTTTACCATAATCGGTCTGGCCAAAGAAAATTTATGAGGTGGTCTCAGACCAGAGAAACTTCAAGGTTTGATGGTATCAAGGTTCCAATAAGTATTCGGTGCCTATTTAGACTGGGTTACTTCATCAAGTGTATAGAATGGGGTCTCGAACTTCTACTAGAGATTGGTTGCTGATGCCAGCGAACTGCCATGTGCAAGTATCGCCAGTTCAGCCGCCACAGCTAAAAACATTGCCCCACCCACTTGCTACCATTACGACAGAGAAAACGAAGTACATGTGTAATCGAGCAACGCTTTGGAACGACGCGTTCAGCAGCCACCAGATTTATTTGTTATCTATTATTTATTTACCACTTTATATACGTACATGTGAGGTCTTGTACACTATTTTATAGAGTTCATATAGTCCATATATCCACTGACACATCAAGAGAAGCATGTGGGTGACATGTATGTCATTCCCCCTGTTGGTCTTGACCAGTAGATAAATTTACCAATATTGCTTTCTACATGTAACCGTTGATCTTGAGCAGTAGCTGTGGGTGCTACTGGAGGTTGCATATTTGTTAATGTTACAATGATATTATCCACAAGCAGCTATAATCAAAAATGTATACTAGCCTCAAGTAGAATTAAATTGCCCATACCATTTCATCACTGATAATTACACAGTCACCTAGCAATGAATTTAAGGACAGTTCGATTGGGTGCTGTATTGTACTTTTTAATGGTCAGTAAAGTTGCTTTACCACCCTAGTGCATAGAGTCTATAGGTTGAAGAGTGGGATCTGAGATATAGAAAACTCATTCATACTTTCACTTTTTGACGCGAACGTAAATAAAAATACTTCAAAGCTACAGACTGTAGCTACAAGGTCTCCGATTACTGTTCACAATGATCAAGTATGCCAAAAAATCTGTACCTTTAAGTAACTAGACTAGATGAACCATCAAATGTGGTATTATTATCTCAATAACAAGGTTTTATGGAGAGGCCCTTAGTTTTGGTTTGCCACTATTTTATAGTCTCCTGTTGTAATTACATAGCTTGACAAAACAGTCCTTATAGTGAACTTCCAGAAAATCAGATAAACCATTGCTAATTTTTGATTACATTTCACCCTCAATTTTCAATAGGTTCTACTTAATCAACTGAACATAATATAACAGGGCAAAATGTATTTGGTCATACATGAAAGACTGATAAGCTGTAAACTATTATATCTAAATTTTAATAACTCTACTGGACATCAACTACATAAATATTTTATTTGTATGAGTCGATCTGAGCTGGTTTTTCTGGGATATCATTATAGAACTCTAGGAAGCCAGCAGCTTTGCCGAAGATGAGGGTGCCAACAAGACTTCCAACACCAATAGCAAGGTGAGCAGTGTATTTGCGCTGATTGGCATCATAAGTTGTCTTCCAACTGCCACTGGGTTGAGGTAGGTCATTGTATGTGCTTTGGGTAGGAGCATGATAGCTTTGCCTACGACCGACTGCAAAAAAAGAATCTGTTAATTTAATCATTAGAATGGGTATTACAACTTTGATTTCAACTATTGAGGTATAAATGTGAACTGATCGAGAACTTAAGACCTCAATCCCCATAAGATTATCATATGCCTCAGCAATTTAGTGTTAATCTTTGCCTGGCAAATATTATCATGAGGGCGTACTTTGGAACCCCCAAGGTTCGTATATCACTACTGCATATTGGAATTTTGGCGATCTTTCAAAACTTACCAGTTCGTATTAATTGTCTACCAAGCTTCTGAGGTGCCTGCATCTTTATCAAATAATGAAATTTCCCTCAAGAAGTACAGTTGAACTAGAAAAATGAGTTATGCAACATGGATCGACAGCCCAAAGCTAAACCTCGAGTGACACTTGTAATGTCAAGAGGTGACGTTTGGTACGTCAAAAACGATTTGTCAAATGACAAGACTGACAATGGTCTGTCTTCTGTCATTTCATGTGAAGGGGTTTCATGAAATGTTTTGATTGTTGGGGTTACAGGGTTGTTTTTATATAGGTTTTTGAAGAGTTTTTTTACGAAATACCTGATAGTATTACGTTGAGTGTTTGTATGAATGCCACTTATTGTATACCTGAACGATAGTTTCAAATAGTTGAGTGACAAAATTTTGAGATGTCTGTGGAGGAGGAGGTTGAATTTCGAGATCTCATTAGTCAAACGTTGGAAGCTAATGGGTGTTTAGCGAGTATCAGGGTCGGTAAACTTCTTTTTCGATTAATCAGTAAATAAAACTAATTTATTCTTTCCATAGGCCCAACTTCGTGCCAGTATTGTTTTAGCTTTAGATGAAGACCCTCAGGTAACTATATAAATTAATGATAAGTATATTAAAGTATCTGATCAAAACTTTTTAATATACTTATCATTATAATAATCATTCCTATTTCACTATAGTTTAACACCTTGTAACTTCTGGAAAATCTGTATTTACCTTTGTCATTATTTTGCTTGAACTGGCTAACGTACAATGAAACTTCATGTCCAGATTTGGTTGAGGATGTTTGACTAACTCATTATTAGAGTATGTTTGAGCTTGTGTAAATGCTTCACAAAACAATGTATTTCTATCTTCACCTTTTTGAATAGTATATGCTGAGATTCAGTTAGTAGATCCTAGGGCTGCCAGACATTTTCACAAAGATAATACTTGAAGCATTTTATATGTATGTACTTTCAATACCTGTGTATCTGCTAAGTTAGATAGTGATCCAATTTGCAGATACCAGGTGATAAGGGTAAGCAAAAATAAGACTAACTTTACTTGAATTCTGTTGGCTGATTTTTGTATATACTTTGTAAAGCATAACTACAAAGTAATTTTCATCAGTGAGAGACACTTCTCATGGTTCATAAGTTCAGCCAAATACCTTGAAGCACCCAATAAAGTTATTCAACTTCTTACTTTCTCATGCTAGTTTTTTATATGTTATTTAGGGGACTATTTCAAAAACTATAGTTGCTTAGCCAGACAAACGTGAGTGCCAAACATCTGACCAGATACAAAAAACATTGTGATAATTATAATCACTAGGGTACTATGTTTGCATTTTTCAACAAGTGTCAAGTGAGCCCTATCTATGAATAGATTTGCCCCTCTGAAAGTCAGTCTCAGAGGTCATATGATCTGTGTGAGACTTAAAATGCCTCTACCAAGATTCAGTGTGTTGAAGTAGTAATTCCACACACGAGCCCAAACAACTAAATATTCGGACACTTTTAAATTTTGTACAAATTGTTCTATAAAATAACAGAACAAGATAGTAAACTTGTACCGAAAACTTTTATTGATAGTTTATACAAAATATGACCTATTTTAGATAATAATATTTGTTGTTCTTGATAAGTAATTCAAATTAACAAAAAAAAAAACTCGAAAATATGTGGCAACTAAATATTCGGGCACTACAAAATGTAACTTAACTAATAACTTGTTACGTCGCCTTTTGCCTTAATTACTGCCTGAATTCTTGCAGGCATGGTCTTAACTAATGCTTGACAGTTTTCTTGTGTAAACTAATTCCAAATATCTTGCAATTTCACATGCAGTTCAAGGATTGTTCTCTGAAGATGGTTTCTCAAATGTTGTTTCATTTTGTGCCAGACCATTTCTATCACATTTAAATTGGGACTACTAGCGGTCCAAGAGAGGACATGTACATCATGATCCCCAAACCATTGTTTTGTGCTTTTGGCGGTGTGGCATGATGCGCCGTCCTGCTGATAAATGCAATCTCCGTCAGGATATGTCAGCTATGGTAGGCAATAATGTGTTTCCAAGGATTTCTTGGTATTAGCTGCATTTACTGTGTGATATACAAACTGAGGACGTCCCATTCCAACTGCAGACATACAGCATAATACCTTTGGGAAATTTCACTATACGTTTAATGCAGTCTTTGTAGAAGGTTTCAGTTTTGCTTCTGGTTACCCGTTTTCGATGATCGCCTACGCATACCTCAAATTTGGCTTCGTCACTAAATATGATCTTGCTCCAGTTCTCATACGTCCAAGAGCGCTTTGATTTTGCCCAAATTAAGTGCCTTTGTTTTTGGACCTTAGTGTTAGAAGCGGTTTTTCTTTAGCCTAATTAATGAAAAAACATTTCAAAATTATTTTGGAATAATTTTATAATGCATACCTTATAAAATTAGAGTCCAGATTTATGAATGTATTTTCGACAGCATTCTCGTGAAACCTGCATTCCACACTTTGTGTTCCACTGAGCGGTAACTTCCCTTAAAGTGTTTCGTCTACCTGATTTGCAGATTTTGGCCAAAGCTCTTCGACTCCGTTCAGTCACAATCCTTGGTCGACCTGGACTTTTACCGCGCACATCAGTACTGACGGTTTCGCCATACTTTTTTATAATGCCCAAAACTGTAGACTTAGGGATAACAAGATCACTTGATATTTTGCGTATTGACTTGCCTTTGCAAAACTGCAGAATAATAATTTGTCTCACTTTCTGGTTAGTGGCTACACCTCGCACCATTTTTGTATGAATATAAATTATCAACAAGAAATTACAATTAGATACTAAATACAATTTCTAACGACGTTGACATAAATGGTATTTTGACATTGGTATCACCCTCAATTGTTTTTGCATAGCCTGCTAGTCTCTGCTTATCTCTAATGTTATGCTTCTTGACCTGTCCGAACATTTAGGCCCGTATCGTCAGTCGTCCCTACAATTGTAGGGCGCCTTTATGGCCTCCTTGATTGTCATAGTTTTCTACTTCTCCGTGTCAGAACTCTATTTTGGGGTTATGTCACAATTATTTGCATCAAATTGTGCTTGCTTTTGAGTTATATCATGTTTTATCAGCCTAAAATTTCCTACAATTTAAAAAGAAAACATATCTTCACAATAGGAGAGCGCTGACGCTGACACGGGACAAGTGTAATCTAGAAATTTTTGAAGGAGAGAAAGGAGTATGACAATCAAGGAGGCCATAAACGCGCCCTACAATTGTAGGGACGACTGACGATACGGGCCTTAGTTCTCACCATATTTCATAATATTTTAGTGATTTTGTTTGCCTTAAAGTAATAAATTTGAAATCAGAGGTGCCGCTATTAAAAATATCTGTTTATTATGCTTATCTATCAATATAAATTGATTGCCAAACATTTTTAGAAGGCGGCAGTTAATTTATGGGTCCAGTTGTACAAAAAGTAAAGGTGTCCGAATATTTAGTTGTTTAGGCTCGTAGAAAAAAAATACAAGTTTAGAGTGGTCTATTTTATTGTGTGAGTTGCATCCTATTACGTTCAGCCTTTTTTTAATTCATGTAAGTTATGATTGAATTTGGTCAAAGTGCCACAGTGTCAGTTCAAAGTTTTGTTGTTTCTGCCTGTGACTCTGTAACACCAAAATATAACAGAGGGTGGGTGTAGAACCACATAGTGCATTACCAAATCTTTGATAGTCTGTATTTATAACTGTGGATATACAAAGGACACAAGATTTTTCTTTTGTGGCATTGCTTTTATTTGTCATTAACACCCCTTTTTGGCAACAATGTTTGAAACTTGTACTATTTGGAAAATAAATTATTATTTATTTAGCCTATGGAGTGTTCAATATGTCACCAGTGAACAGCTCACTTGCTGTACAATTATGACACAAAAAAGTGAATGACACAACAAAGGAGAGCAAACTAAATAAAACAAAAAAATCACAAACTTTATATCTACGAGGGTGATCTAAATAGTTTCCGACTTCAATATGAAGATGGCAGCACTCGTAAATATTCATTTTTGGAAAACTTGATACAGGCTTAGAGATTTAAAATTTCCGGAAAAATTGGGTGCCGGAAAAATTGAGGAAAAATACGGAAAAATTGAAATTTGTTATATACAAGATAAAAGTATTCTGGTTACTGATTTTTCCATTAATATAAATCAAACAGAAATAATTTGAATCAAAAACCGCAAGCTACGGCTCTGAAGGATTACTTCTCGGTAAATACCCGTCGATTTTCGGTGAATCCCCGACCACTACAGCTTTCGGTTAATTCCCGATCAGGCACAGCGACACGGCATTTCGGTAAATCCCCGTATTCCTGAATTGTTCAGTTGAGAATGAGATTCTTCAATATTGACTCGTCTTGTTTATTTTAAAGCACGCATTTTAATTTAGCCTTATCATAAGCGCAGTAAATGAATAATACAAAGTGAAATTTTGCTGTAATAATTGAGTGTGTTTGTTCTGAAGATTGTTAGTGTTGTTGACCCAAGTGTTTGTTTTGGTTTCTGGTAAGTGAATATTTTATTAAATTTGGAATAGCTTCAAGTGTTTTGAAGGTGGGATTTCAGTTTCCTTGCATATTTTCCTTACTTTTATTTATAACTAATATCAAGATTCAGTAATAATAATTATTATCTGTATACTCATTAAATTACAAGAATTTGATCAGTTGATAAAGTGCAGCAAGATATTTTATTTATGTATTTTTTCTTGTTGCAGGACAATATGGTTCGACCTTCTTCAGATATTTGGCAATTATTTGATATTGAAAAAACAGATAAAAAATCCAAGGCTGTGTGTAAGTTTTGCTGTTTTAAATACGCCTTTCCAAACGCAACTCGCATGACGAATCATATATTAAACCAATGTTCAAAATGTCCTTTGGAAATTAAACAAAAATATGGCAAGACAGAAGAAAAAGAAAGTAACAAAGATATCCTGCTAGAAGCATTAGAAGATACCAGTCTCCCTTCAACTAGCAAAAAGGACACGTCATCAATGTCATCATCTTCCGAATCTCCATTACCATCAGTAAGACGCAAGAAAGCTAGCTGCCAACAAACATTTAGCGGGTTTTTCGATAAGATAGCTGTTTCAGAGTCTTCTAAAATTGATGAGGCATTAGCTAGGGCTCTTTATGCTTCTGGTGCTCCTTTTTCTCTTTTCAAAAATAAATATTGGGAATAGGTTTTTAAAATGCTAAGACCGTCATACCAAATACCTAGCCCTTACGCCTTGTCAACAAACTTACTTAATTCCGAGTATGAACGGGTACAGATAAACCGAAGTCAAAAGCTTTCTGAATCCGATAGTTTATCAATAGTAACAGATAGTTGGACAAATATGGTCGGAGATGGATTAATCAATATTGTTTTATGCACGCCTATACCTTTATTTTACAAAACTGTCCATCGTGGCACTGCAAAAGAAACGTTAACGTATATAAGTGATGAACTTATCAAAGTTATTTAAGAAATAGAGCCACAAATGTTTTTTTTAATAGTGACTGACAATGCGAGCAATATGAAAGCTGCTTGGCATATTATAAATACAACATATCCTCATATATCTTGTGTTGGTTGTGCAGCTCACACTCTGAATTTGCTACTAACGGACTTTATGAAAGAATATTTGTTTGAAAAAATAAGTAAAGAGTCTACAAAAATTTGTAAATATTTTAAACAGCACCACATACTTTATGCTGCGTTTAAAGAAGCACAGGCCGAAAAATACCCAAAAAAATAAAGTAATTTCCATCAAATTACCTGCAAATACAAGATGGGGTTCTCTGTTTATAACTGTTGATTCGTTTTTAAGAAAAAGGAAGCTCTGCAATGTACTGTATTAGTGGAAAACCTGAATGTAAAACAAAATATTAAAAAAGTTG